AAATTGACCAACTGGTCATCTAAAGCCATTAGGTCAACTGATTGACTAGTTTAGATAAACCAATTGACCGATTGATCAGGATTTCAGATTCTTAATCCACTAGTCTCCTGACACGACTAAAAGATTGATATCTTCTCCCAAGTGCAGGAGTGTCGAAGTAATAAATAACCCGGCAAGACTGGGGTCGAACCACAGGGAGGTTAATTCTACAAATTATAAACAACAGCAATAGTAACAATAACAACAACAATAATAATAGTAGCAATAATAATACTAATAATACTACTACTACAAGTAGTAGTAGTAGTAGTAATACTAACAACAACAACAACAACAACAATAAAGAAGAAGAAGAAGAAGAAGAAAAAGAGTTGATGAGAACTTTGAGATGGAAAATTAACGTAAGGATTAAATAATGATAACAAACAATGTCAAGGTTAGAGGATCCACTAATGGTATGTCAAACAAGTATAGTATAAACTTTTATTATTCAATTGGAAACATGTCAAGGTTAGAGGTTCCACTAATGGTATATCAAACAAGTATAGTATAAACTCTTATTATTGAATTGGAAACCACACACAAAGGAGGTTCCAATCAGATTATATATTGTTAACATGATTACATTAGTCATCTTATTCAATTAATGCTAATACTTGTAAATCTCGTCAAGCATTCATGATTATAACTTATGTTAACAACAAATCAAGTTCCTTTCATAGCTCAGGTGTCGGTTATACCATACATTATGGGCTATGAAAGTGCCAAGCATTTGTTGTACCAAGTGTTATACAACATAAATCAAGATTAGTCATTTAACAAGCAAAGTATTAAAGAGTGAACAAGATAACAAATATAAAACATGTTAGTATCAAACATTAAGGTCCATATTAAGTTTACATTATACTTATTCTTACACCATTAGTGTAACCTTTTCACCTTGACATAACTAACTTAGCTAGACATAATGAAAGAAAGCAAAATAGATAAACAAAATAAGAACATAAAAGTTAACTAAGTAAAGGAAAGGAAATGAAAGGCATAAACTTAATATTAATGAAAGCAAAGCATAAACATTACAAAAAATACAAAGAGAGAAAGGAAGAGCATGATCTTGATCTGGAAACCAAGATGCCTAAATGCATGGCAAATGCCTCCTTTTATAGGCCAAAATTGGGAACTATTGATTTGATGACTAATTGATAAGTTGGTGTCCAACTTTTGACTTGGTGACAATCCTTATCTTCTCTTGTCTGCCCAAAACGTCATTGATAACGTCAAAATTGGAGCCAGTTGCAAACATGAAAGTTGTAGGCAATTGTCTCAGCTTTCTTGTGTAACAAATTCAGCTCATTTGGACTTCTAGAACTCTAGATATAGCCAAAATACTGAACAGTGTTCGGGTTGGAAGACAGATTTAGGCGTCTTTGTTATTGCTACAATTTGGACTTGAAAATGGCCCATTTAGATCTTGGGCTCCATATGAAAGTTGTAGGCCTATGTCTTACCTTTCCATCCATATAAAATAAACCTAAATCTGAGATTTACACCTCCATATATGACCTAATTACCGAACAGTGTTCCAGTTTGGATTGCACCGGCATCTCTTTTCTAAGTTTGGTCGTCTCTTCGTCCTTTTAATTTCAGTTCTTAAATTCATCAATCAATATTTCATTTATGTGATAGGCCTGCATTTAAAATGAATATTTAATACAAATTAAAGACATCTTATATTATTAGATATATTATTATAAAACATGTTTTAGTTAAGGAGTTATTGATACTTCAAGTGCAAAATCATGATATAAAACCTTGATAAAAATGCACTTTTAAGTATTAACCATCTCTCTAAAATCACAAATATTTTAGATTTCAACTCATACCTTAAAACCCATAATGATTAATCCATACTTTTTAAATTAATCCATCAACTAAACTAAAAAACTCAAACTTTGACTCCCTAAATCTCAATAAATTTGAAATCATAATTAATAATAATAATTACACCTATCAAAATATAAATCTCACCTTAAAAACCTATTTTCTCGAACTCATTTCTCTTTCTCTCTCTCCTCTTCTTTTTCTCTCTCTTTTGATTTTCTCTTTTTTAATTTCTAATCTTTTTTTTCTCATCTTATTTATATTTATTAACTTTATACAATTACTAAATTGTCCCTTATTTATATCTATTGTTTACTCCTCCAAGGGTATTTGTTGCCCTTTTCTATTAAAATCTTTTCTTTTCTTTAAAAATATTACATTTTACCCACATTACAAAATTGTTGTCCTTGAAACTTGATAGAAACACTCGAAGACTTACCGAATTTTTCAAAAAGGTAAGGATAGTTGTCGTGAATTTTGTCCTTGAGCTCCTATATCTCTTTCTCATATGAATGACCTTTTTAATTCTCTTTCACTCAAGCTATTTTCTTTTATCCAAGTTTCCTTACTTGTTGATGCACGATAGCTTCCAATTGCACCTTATAAGTCATATCATCTCTTAAATCAACCTTATGAACTTTCAATACATGAGATGAATCTAGTATATACTTCTGTAACATCAAAACATGGAATACTGGATGAATTAATGACAAGTTTGGTGGTAGTGCTAACTTATATGCAACTACTCCAACTATCTCTAGAATCTCATATGGTCCAACTTTTATTCTAGCTATCAATGTAAATTTTTTTTCATAATCTATATCTTATTCTTGATTATAACATTTAGCAACTAGTCTAGCTTTGTTTATAACTATTGTTCCATGTTGATCAACATTGTTTCTAAACACCGATTTTATTCTAATTATTAATTGATTATCAAGGCTACGAATTAGTTCTTAAATTACATGATCAAAACATTGATATTTTCTCTTAGATGCAGGAGTATCGACGTAATAAATAATCCAGCAAGACCGTAGTCGAATCACAACAAGGTTAACTATATAATAATAATAACAATAATAATAAAAATAAAAATAAGAATTTAAAGAAGACTTTGAGATGTAAGATTAATGTGAAGATTAAACAATTAAAATAAATGTCAAGATTAAAGGATCCATTAATGGTATTTTGATTAGTACTTAAAAGTGTATTTTTATCATGGTTTTATATCATCATTTTGCACTTAAATTGCAAGGATAAAGAGATGACCAAACTTAGAAAAGAGATGTCAGTGCAATCCAAACCGGAACACTATTTGGTAATTGGATCATATCTGGAGCTATATATCTCAGATTTAGGTCCAATTTATATGGATGGAAAGGTAAGATATAGACCTACAACTTTCATATGGAACCCAAGATCTAAAAAGGCCATTTTCAAGTCCAAATTGTAGCAACAACAAAGAAGCCCGAATCTGTCTTCCAGCCCGAGCACTGTTCGGTATTTTGGCCATATCTGGAGTTCTAGAAGTCCAAAAGTATTTTGACCATATCTGGAGTTCTAGGAGTCCAAATGAGCTGAATGTTTTACACAAGAAAGCTGAGATAATTTCCTACAACTTTCATGTTTTCAATTGGCTCTAATTTTGACGTTATCAATGACGTTTTGGGCAGAAAAGAGAACATAAGGATTGTCACCAAGTCAAAAGTTGGCCATCCACTTATCAATTAGTCATCAAATCAATAGTTCCCAACTTTGGCCTATAAAAAGAGGCATTTGCCATGCATTTAGGCATCTTGGTTTTCAGATCTAGATCATGATCTTCCTTTCTCTCTTTGTATTTTTTTTGTAATGTTTATGCTTTGCTTTCATTAATATCAAGTTTATGCCTTTGATTTCCTTTCCTTTACTTAGTTAACTTTTATGTTCTTATTTTGTTTATCTATTTTGCTTTCTTTCATTATGTCTAGCTAAGTTAATTATGTCAAGGTGAAAAGGTTACACTAATGGTGTAAGAATAAGTATAGTGTAAACTTAATATGGACTTTAATGTTTGATACTAACATGTTTTATATTTGTTATCTTGTTCACTCTTTAATACTTTGCTTGTTAAATGCCTAATCTTGATTTATGTTGTATAACACTTGGTACAAAAAATTCTTGGCACTTTCATAGCCCATAATGTATGGTATAACCGACACCTGAGCTATGAAAGGAACTTGATTTGTTGTTAACATAAGTTATAATCATGAATGCATGATGAGATTTACAAGTATTAGCATTAATTGAATAACATGACTGATTGGAACCTCCTTTGTGTGTGGTTTCCAATTGAATAATAAGAGTTTATACTATACTTGTTTGGCATACCATTAGTGGAACCTCTAACCTTGACATTTATTATTATCATTGTTTAATCGTTACATAAATATTTCATCTCAAAGTTCTCATCATCATCTTCTTCTTCTTCTCTTTCTTTTTCTTTATTATTATTATTATTACTACTACTACTACTAGTATTATTATTATTGTTATTGTTATTGCTATTGTTATTGTTATTGTTATTATTATTGTTATTGTTATTGTTATTGTTATTGTTATTGTTATTGTTATTGTTATTGTTGTTGTTGTTATTATTGTTATTGTTGTTGTTATTATTATTGTTGTTGTATTATTTTTATTTATAATTTGTACAATTAACCTCCCTGTGGTTCAACCCCGGTCTTGTCGGGTTATTTATTACTTCGACACTCCTGCACTTGGGAGAAGACATCGACCTTTTAGCCGTGTCATATTTCAAACAAGTATAGTATAAACTTTTTTCTATTACTCAACTAGGAACCAAAGGAGGTTCCAATCAGATTATAAATTGTTAACATAATTACATTAGTTATCTTATTTGAATAATGCTAATACTTGTAAATGTTGTCAGTTATTCATGATTATAACTTATGTTAATAACAAATCATGTTCCTTTTATAGCACAAGTGTCAGTTATACCATACGGTTAGGCTATGAAAGTGCCAAGTATTTGTTGTTTCAAGTGTTATACAATACAAATCTAGATTAACCATTTAACAAGGAAAGTATTAAAAGTGAATAAAATAACAAATACAAAGCATGTTAGTACCAAACATTAAGGTTTATATTGAGTTTATATTATACTTATTCTTACACCATTAATGTAATTTTTTCACATTGACATAATAAACTTAACTAAACATAATAAAAGAGATAAATATAAATAAACAAGAAAAAAACATAAATAAGATAAAAAGTTAACTAAGCAAATAAAAGGAAATGAAAAGCATAAACAAGAGATTAATTTAAACAAAACTTAAGCATTATAATAAAGAGATAGCAAGAACATGATGTTGATCTGAAAAATCAAGATACCTAAATCCATGGTAAATGCCTTATTTTATAGGCCAAAAATATAAAATATTGATTTGTTGACTAATTGTTGAGTGAGTGGCTACATCTTGACTTAATAACAATCCTTATCTTCTTGCCTGAACAAAACATCATTGCTAACATCAGAATTTGAATAGACTTAATTCATGAAAGTTCTAGAAAATTGTCTTAGCTTTCCAACAAAAAAACATTGAGGTCATTTGGACTTCTAAAACTTGAGATATGAGCTGAGCATGAAATAGTGTCTGGGTTACAGGACAAATTCGGACTTCTTTATTGTTACTAAGATTTGGACTTCCAAACAATAGAATTGAGTCTTCATGAATGTTTTAGACCAATATCTTAGCTTTCTAACCATATAAACTAAATTAAAATCCAAGATCTATAACTCTATATATGATTAAATGACTGAACAATATTCTAGTTTGGACTGAACCAACATCTCTTTTTTAAGTTTGGCCTCCTTTTTGTTTTCTCAATTTTAGTAGTTGGACTCATCAATCAATCTTTTGATTTATATGATTGACCTATATTTAAGATGAACATTTATCATAAATTAAAGGTATCTTATAGTATCAGTCTTGTTATTATAAAACATGTTTTAGTTAAAGAGTTATTGATACTTCAAGTGCAAAATGCTGATATAAAACCTTAATAAAAATAAAATTTTAAGTTCTAGAAAATTATCTCATCTTTTTAACAAAAAAAATGACGTCATTTGGACTTCTAGAACTCGAGATATAGGTTAAACACTGAACAGTATCTAAGGTGCAGGATATATTTTTACTTCTCCGTTGTTGCTACAATTTAAACTTAAAAACAGTTTTTTTAAATTTTAGACTCCCATAAAAGTTTTAGGCCTATATCTTAGCTTTCCATACATATAGAGCAGACCTAAATCTAAGTTCTACAGCTCCAAATATAACCCAATAACTGAACAGTATTCCAGTTTAGACTGAATCGGCATCTCTTTTATAAGTTTAGCCATCTCTTTGTCTTTTCACTTTTAATAGTTAATTACATTAATTAATCCTTTAAATTGTAAAATATGCATTTACTATAAATTCAAGCTATCATATATTATCAAACTTGTTATTATAAAACATGCTTAAGTTAGAGAATTTAATGATACTTTATATGTAATATAATAATATAAAACCTTGATAAAAATACACTTTCAAGTACTAATCAGGTCTCCCTAACAAGATGTGACTTGTTTGCATTGCTACTACATTGCACATAATTTATTAACATATTTCCTAATAAAAAATAGAACCACGATCTGTTTAGTCACTTTCACTTTACCATTGTTATTTAACCATTGCAATTTATATGGTTTAACATGCTTAACAGGACTCAAATTCAGTTTACTAACAAGGGTGGTCCCACAAATATTAACACAACTTCCACTATTTGTAATTAAAGGTTTAATATGCTTAACATGACTCAAATTCAGTTTATTAACAAGGGTGGTCCTACAAACATTAACACAACTTCCACTATTTATAATTAAAGGTTTAACATGCTTAACATGACTCAAATTCAGTTTATTAACAAGGGTGGTCCTACAAACATTAACATAACTTCCACTATTTGTAATTAAACCACACACCTTACTTTGTACATAATAATGCGTATGGATGATGTTCTCCCTTTATTGATTAGTTTCATCTCCCTTGACTTGAACTTAAAGTGTTTGCCTTATAACTAAGGACTCCTCACTGGTAAAGCTAACTCATCCCCATCACTATCCTTTAATGGTGGCATGCTTTCACAATCAGATCTTTCACTTTTAGATTCTATATCACCATTATCTCTAATCATCATAATTATCTTGTTTAGATACTTTAAAGTATAATGTCCATATCCCCAACACTTAAAACATTTAACATCATGAATATATTGATTAGTACTTAAAAATGCATTTTTATCATAGTTTTATATCATCATTTTACACTTGAAGTATCAATAACTCCTTAATTAAAGCATGTTTTATAATAATATATCTAATAATATAAGATACCTTTAATTTGTGGTAAATGTTCATTTTAAATGCAGGCCTATTAAATAAATGAAAGGATTGATTGATGACTTTAAGAACTTAAATTACAAAGGCAAAGTGATGACCAAACTTAGAAAAGAGATGACAGTGTAGTCCAAACCGGAACACTGTTTGGTAATTGGGTCATATATGGAGTTGTAGATCTCAGAGTTAGGTCTACTTTATATGGATGGAAAGGTAAAAAATAGGCCTACAACTTTTATATGGAGCCCAAGACCTAAAAAGGTCATTTTCAAGTCCAAATTGGAGCAACAACAAAGAAGTCTAAAACTGTTTTCCAGCCCGAGCACTGTTCAGTATTTGGCCTATATCTGGAGTTGTAAAAGTCTAAATGACCTGAATATTTTACATAAAAAAGATGAGATAATTATCTACAACTTTCATGTTTTCAATTGGATCTAATTTTGACGTTATCAATGACGTTTTGGGTAGACAAGAGAAGATAAAGATTGTTACCAAGTCAAGAGTTGGTCACCCATTCATCAATTAGTCATCAAATCAATAATTTCTAATTTTGGCCTATAAAAGGAAGCATTTGCCATGCATTTAGGCATCTTGGTTTCCAGATCAAGATCATGCTCTTGCTTTCTCTTTGTATTTTTTGTAATGTTTATGCTTTGCTTTCATTAATATCAAGTTTATGCCTTTCATTTCCTTTCCTTTACTTAGTTAACTTTTATGTTCTTATTTTGTTTATCTATTTTTGCTTTCTTTCATTATGTCTAGCTAAGTTAGTTATGTCAAGGTGAAAAGGTTACACTAATGGTGTAAGAATAAGTATAATGTAAACTTAATATGGACTTTAATGTTTGATACTAACATGTTTTATATTTGTTATCTTGTTCACTCTTTAATACTTTGCTTGTTAAATGACTAATCTTGATTTATGTTGTATAACACTTGGTACAACAAATGCTTGGCACTTTCATAGCCCATAATGTATGGTTAAATGCTTAACACTTTTATAGCTCATACTGTATGGTATAGCTGACACCTGAGCTATGAAAGGAACTTGATTTGTTGTTAACATAAGTTATAATCATGAATGCTTGACGAGATTTACAAGTATTAAAATTAATCGAATAAGATGATTAATGTAATCATGTTAACAATCTATAATCTGATTGGAACTTCCTTTGTGTGTGGTTTCCAATTAAATAATAAGAGTTTATACTATACTTGTTTGACATATTATTAGTGGATCCTCTAACCTTGACATTTGTTATTATCATTATTTAATCCTTACATTAATATTTTATCTCCAAGTTCTTATCATCATCTTCTTCTTCTCTTTATTATTATTATTATTACTACTACTACGACCACCACCACCATCACCACCACCACTATTATTATTATTATTATTATTATAGTTGTTATTGTTATTATTGTTGTTTATAATTATTTTTTATAATTTGTACAATTAACCTCCCTGTGGTTCGACATCAATCTTTTTGTCGTGTCATATATTTAGATTGAGTTTTAGATTTACCTTTGGCACTAATTAAGACATTAACTTTAGCCTTTTGTGTTTTGGTTCTAGAAGGAATAAAGGACCTCGGCCAGACAGTACCCTCTCTTTAGATTTGGCTTTCAAGATGATGAAGAACTCGGATTAAATGCTGGCTGGATATGTCCCTTTCTAAGTTGTCTCTCTACCTTCGTAGCCATGTGAATCATGTTCTCTAGCTCCATATAGTGCTAAAGCTCAACAACATTGGCAATGTCCCGATTCAACCCATTAAGAAATCTAGCCATGATGACTTCTCTATCCTCAACAAAATTAGCTCGAATCATTACAATCTCTATCTCTTTGTGATATTCATCTACTATCTTATAACCATGATTCAGACCTTGGAGCTTCAGATATTGACACGATCAAAAAATTGATGTCTTCTCTCAAGTATAGGAGTGTTGAAGTAATAAATAATCGAGCAAGACCGGAGTCGAACCACAAGGAGATTAATTGTATAAATTATAGATAACAATAATACAACAACAATAACAACAACAATAGTAACAATAATAACAATAATAGTAGTAGTAGTAGTAGTAGTAGTAATGGTAATAGTAATAATAATAATAATAATAATAATAATAATAATAATAATAGCAATAATAATAATAATACAAGAAAAAGAAGAAGAAGAAGT